GTTCTAAAACATAAATAGAAAAATTTAAAATTGGGAGAGTTAGAGAAAATTGCTGTGTGTGTGTGTGTGTGTGTGTGTGTATATATATATATATATATATATATATATATATATATATATATATATATATATATATATATATATATGGGAATTTTACTTTTTTCCTGTTGGTTTTCTGGTTGTTTGGCTCTTGTGTTCTAAAATGGGTGTTGAGGGGTAAGTTTGAGAAATGTACTGTATGTGTATTTCCTCGTAGAACTGTTCTATGTGCAAGAAAATATTATATTTTGTTATCTTAATGATTGGTGTGAGAAAAGTATGTTAATGTTAATCTTATTAGTGTTAATCTTAAACCTCTGGCTGCAACTTTGTGTATGAAAATGCTATTCTTTTTCTCATAACAAAGAATGTACAAGTTTTAGGTATGGATGTAGTTTTTGTCCTCTACTCAATTCTTCATTTACACTGTGATTAGTAGTGTCCTTAAAATAGAAAATAGTTCATGGAAGTAGGATGAGGAAAAAATTATTAGCTGAATGAGTGAAGTTGAACTTCTATTGTGCTTTTAAGAAAGAAATACTGAACAAACATTTATCTAGGGATTACAGCAGGGTTATTAAAAGCGAGAGCTTCTCGCTTAAAGCGCTGAAGCGAGGCGAGACGCGAGGTCTGCACATTTCTGACCTAAAGCGAGGCATCTGGAAAAAAAAAGCGAGCGCTTTTCACTGGTTCTGCCATGTTTCTACCAGTTCTTTTCTATTTTTTTTTCAGTTCTTCTTTTCTCTGTTCTGCCCTGTATCTTGGTATGCTAATGCTCTATTTTTTTTTTAAAACTGTTGTTCACTGGTTCTGCCATGTTTCTACCAGTTCTTTTCTATTTTTTTCAGTTCTTCTTTTCTCTGTTCTGCCATGTTTCTAGTTATGCTACTGCTCTGTTGTTTTAAAACTGTTGTTCACTGGTTCTGCCATGTTCTACCACCAGTTCTGGTACTTTCTGTTGCCTGAACTATAAAAGAATGTTAAAGAGACAATATAGTTGGAATGTCACTAGACTAAGGTATTAGGAATCAACAGTTGAAGTGTCCTTTTCCCATAGAGAATACGAGGAATGAAAGTTTGGAATTGGTAAGTTAGAAATTTCATTCAACATTTAATACAGATGTATAAAAAGTAGGCGACGTTGGCACTGAAATTTAATTGTATATTTTAACTATACTAGCGAGTAATGACTAGATAGACACCTATTCTAGTGAACCCTCATACAGACCTGGCGAAAGTGTTTATCACACAAAACTGAGCGCATGAAAGGGAGCAGTGGGGCCCTTGGAGCACAACATAGTTTATCTTAGAATTTTTTTTTAAGAGTACCTGTCTGGATTAAAAGTTGGTATTCACATTTTATTTTTCTAACATAAGATGAGGAAGCCATTGGATAGTCAAACAACTAAAATATATTAGGAGTAATTAGAAGTAAAATTTAGGATATTAGGTTCTTATGTTGCAAGATATGACAGATTGAGAAAGAAGATGCCAAAGGTAAACTAAGCAGATTTGTTTACATGCAGAAGACCAGACAGATCCAATATACTTCTAAAACAGATTTGTTTTTTCCCACCCACAGTCCTTTTGTCTCTCTTTCTTTCTCCTTTTATTCTTGCTTTTAATGTTATTTCAATTCAGTCACTGTTTTTCTGTGCCATAACATACTGCTTTTACTAGATCTAGATATTACACTTAGCATTGTGTTCGAGGACCTGTTTTACTAGACCTGCTTTTACTTTATTACTATTTTAAATTTTGACTGATGAATTATATTACTTTTAAAAGTAACTGATTTATGTATTCTCAAATTTTTGCAGGTCGCTGAAAATGGTATTATCGAGAGCCTCTGCCTCTCTGTAGCGTGTGGCGAGTTGTAGCGTCGCTTTTTTGCAAAAAAGAAAAGAAGAATATAGCAGCAGCGATCTGTTAAAACAAAAATTAGGGCTCGCTATTTCTTTACTCTTTCTCCTTTTAGTCGACAACAGACCAGCAATTTCCTTTCTTCTTCAAGTTTCTTCATCAAGTATGCTTCCCTTCATCTTTTTTCTTCTTTCTTCTTCTCCTTCCTTCATCTCCTTTTTTCTTTCTTCGAGTTTTTGTTCCGTGACTTCGTCGAATTTTTCTCTTTTTTCTGTCTTCTTCTTCTTCTCTTCTTCTTTCTTTTTGTTTTGGGCTTTGTTTTTTGTCGCTGCTGCTGCAACAGAACAAAGCCTGTGTTGCTGTTTTTTCTTCATTTTTCTTCTTCTTTCTTTGTTTTGTTTTTTTTGGCTCTGTTTTTAATCACTGCTGCTGCACTCAATAGAACAGCCTGAGAAAAGCTCTGTTTTTTCTTCAGTTCAGAGAGCTTCTTCAGTTCTTCTTCTCTTCTTCTTTCTTTTTTCAGCTCTATTTTTTGTTTTTCAATTTTCCACAGCTTCACTTTGGATTTTTGAATTTTTAATTATGAATTGATATATTTATAATATATTATATTTGAGTTTTTAAGTAAAATCCTCTTAACAAAAAGATCCCAAAGTTTGTAATTTTATAAATCCTCTACTGAAAGGTCCCTTTAGATGCTTGTGGTCGAGTATATGTCCCAAAATTACCAGTATATTTCTGAGTGTAAAATTGAAATCTAAGAGGTAAATTGATTCCTTTGTAATTCTAAGAGCTAAATTGATTCTTTTGCAATTCTATTACTTTTCAATAAAACATGATCTTTTCTCCCTCATGTCATGAGCAGGTTAGATGTCGTTGATCACTAATCAACTTCATAACCTTTCTGTTTTTCTTTCTAGTGGCTTCCGGCTTTGCAATAAATATTTACAACTATTTGGAATAGTGAGAAGTAAAATTATTAAATGGTTTAGTGATACAACATCACTTGAATACTACAATTGTAGCTTACTGGAACAAGGATTACTAATTGTTGATTTACTTATGTGTGACGAACCGACCCGTCGTCACGTGAGTTACCGTCCCGTTTTCACCATTTTCTGCTTCTTTATGCTTCATTGTAAGAGTCTTGTGTGAACGAGTTGATTTAGATTGGTTTTAGAAGGAAATGAGACACTTAGTCTCTTTAAGGAAGGTTTGTTTTGGAAAAATCAACCGGATGTTGACTTATATGTTAGAGGGCTCAGATTCCTTTGTAATTCTAAGAGCTAAATTGATTCCTTTGCAATTCTATTACTTTTCAATAAAACATGATCTTTTCTCCCTCATGTCATGAGCAGGTTAGATGTCGTTGATCACTAATCAACTTCATAACCTTTCTGTTTTTCTTTCTAGTGGCTTCCGACTTTGCAATAAATATTTACAACTATTTGGAATAGTGAGAAGTAATTATTAAATGGTTTAGTGATACAACATCACTTGAATACTACAATTGTAGCCTACCGGAACAAGGATTACTAATTGTTGATTTACTTATGTGTGACGAACCGACCCGTCGTCACGTGAGTTACCGCCCCGTTTTCACCATTTTCTGCTTCTTTATGCTTCATTATAAGAGTCTTGTGTGAACGAGTTGATTTGGATTGGTTTTAGAAGGAAATGAGACACTTAGTCTCTTTAAGGAAGGTTTATTTTGGAAAAATCAACCGGATGTTGACTTATGTGTTAGAGGGCTCAGATGTGGATTCTGGTGTTTCGGTTAGCTTCGGGGGATGATTTGTGACTTAAGAATGTGACCGGAAGTGATTTTGGAGGTCCGGTGTAGAATTAGGCTTGAATTGGCGAAGTTAGTATTTTGGCGAATTCCGGTTGATAGGTGAGATTTTGATCCGAGGGTCGGAATAGAATTCTGAGAGTTGCTGTAGCTTCGTTATGTGATTTGGGATGTGTGTGCGAAATTTCAGGTCATTCGGAGGTGATTTGGTTGGGTTTTTGATCGAATGCGTATTTCGGAAGTTTTTAAAAAACATAGGCTTGAATTCGATGAGAAATGATGGTTTTAGTGTTGTTTGAGGTGTTTTAATGATTGAAATAAGTTTGAATGATGTTATATGAGGTGTTGGTATTTTTGGTTGAGGTCTCGGGGTGATTTCGGATGGTTAACGGGAAGTTTTGGTTTGTGAAACTTCAGAAATTGCAGCTGTTTCTGGTATTTTCGCTTCTGCGGAAATGGGACCGCAGAAGCGGTACCGTAGAAGCAAGGGGAGAGCCGCAGAAGCGGCAGGGACCACAGGTGCAGATTTGGTGACCGCATCTGCGGAGTCGCAGATGCGACTAAATGACCGCAGATGCGGGATTTGGATATCTAATGGGATTCGCAAATGCGGAGCTTGGTCCGCAGAAGCGGAAGCCGCAGATGCGGGAACTCGACCGCAGAAGCGGTTATTTTCGCAGAAGAGGCCTGTTGACCGCAAAAGTGGGAGTCGCAGATGCGACCATGGAGCCGCAGATGCGGAAATGACTGAGCAGTGTTATTAAATTTCATCTTCGCGAAATTTCAAAGGGTTTCATATTTTCACTTCGGACTTGGAGAATTTGGGCGAGCTGGAAGAGAGAAATCAAGGGAATTCTTTGAGGTAAGGATTTCTGAGTCTAAAACACAATTCTAAGGTGTTATTACATGAATTTAGACTGAAAAAACTAAGGAATTAAGGAGTTAGAATAGAGGTTAGGGCTTGGATCTTAAGAGAGTTAAAATGGGGATTTGAGGGGTCATTTGGACTCCGATTTTGGTAATCTTTATATGTATAGACTCGTGGCGAGATAAGGAGTCCGTTGATGTTAATTTTTCTGATTTTCGAGAAGTGGGCCCGGGGCTCGGGTTTTGCTAATTTTGAGATTTTTGCTATTTTTTGACTGTTTTCGATTGGGTATTGTTCCATTGGCATATTGTGACGTATTCGTTCTGGTTTTGNTGTCAATTTGGGCAAACTTGCCGTTAGCTTCACCCCGATGCGATATGATGCATTTCAATAGGGTTTCTTTATGTTCTATCTGCCCCAGTTTCACACAATTTGGGCTGGAAGTGTTTTCAAAATGCCTTTACTTATTTCCTTCAAATGTCCCTATCATCCTCAAAATTGTTTCATTGCTTTATGACTAAACTAACTTTTAAAGACCAGTCTGAGCATTACGCGTGCATGTCATGTCACTAGGGTCAACAGGAAAAGAACTATAAAAGGAAAAGAGAACTAAACAAAAATGACTAGACAGAAAACAGAAAATTGCATTAGATAGATGGTGAAAGGGTTTGAACAACAAAACAAGCAAACTAAACTGGGGTTACAACCCTGGAACAAACCTAGACAACACTAAACGAGTTATTACGACTAATAAACTAGGCAAAAATAAAAGGATAGAAGGGTTTGAGTCACAAGACAATATCCGGATTACAACCCTGAAAATAAACCGGACAACAGAAATGACAACATAATAAGCCACCAAGACTCCTCTCCAGCTAGCCATGAGATGGAGCGGCTTTCCAATTACCAAGCACAGCATCTTAGCCACTGAGTTCCGCATCAATATTTCCAAGACCATTACCAACTTCAATATCATCAGCTTCAGTCAACAAGTTCCCAAGATGATTCCCATGCTCCCTGTCACTGTCATTGATCAAAATTACCCCTTCTTGAATCATTCTTTCTATTTCCTTTTTCAAAGAATGACAATCTTCAATGCTATGCTCTTGGACATTAGAGTGGTACATGCATCGTACAGTAGGATCAAAACCCTTTGCATATGGGTCTGGAGTATAGCCGAGGAGCGGCTCAATCAGGCCAGAATGTCTTAACTTTTCAAACAAGCTTGTGTAGGACTCCCCAATTGGCGTGAAACTATTTCTTTTCCTTTGTTCTCTTCCCTGCCCCTGTTTTCTAGGGTTGTTGGGTGCTCGAAAATGTTGTGAAGGCAAGAATGCATTATGCGGTGCTGGTGCTCGCCATAGGGAGTGACCTGATGGTTGGACATATGACCGGACATTGTTCGGAGGATAATACTGAGGTGGATTATGTGGAGCTCGGGGATAGGTTTGGGGTTGGAGTTGAGGTTGGGTATATTGGTGAAGCGGACCCTTCGGTCCATGTCGTGACTCTGAAACAACCATGGCAACATCATCGTGTTCCTTCTGACCCAGCAAGCTTCTTGTGTCGTTCTGAATTGCTTGTGTTGTGACTTTTAAAGCAGAATAACTCATGATCTTGCTAGACTTCAACCCCTCTTCTACCATTTCTCCCATTTTTACCACATCATTAAAAGGCCTACCCACAACCGCGATCAAATGCCCATGGTAAGTTGGTTTTTGAGCTTGAAGAAAGTAGTCGACCATCTCTTTTTCTTCCATCGGAGGATCGACTCTGGCAGCTTGCTCTCTCCATCTGAGCGCGTACTCCCTAGAGCTTTCATTAGGCTTTTTTTTCATCTTGGCGAGGGACCTGCGATCCGGGACGATTTCAATATTATATTAAAAGTGCCTGGCAAAAGCCTGAGCCATATCGTCCAACGTGTACCACTTGTTAGCATCTTGGCGGGTGTACCACTACAGAGCTGCCCCACTCAGGCTCTGACTGAAATACGCCATCAATAATTTGTCATTCCCACCAACGCCTCTCATCTTACTGCAGTAACCTCTCAAATGGGCCACGGGATCTCCGTGCCCGTCATACAAATCAAAGTTTGGCATCTTAAACCCAACAGGCAGTTGGACGTCAGGAAACAAACACAAGTCTTTGTAAGACACGCTCATCTGGCTCCCTATCCCTTGCATGTTTCTTAAAGACTGCTCTAAGATTTTCACCTTCCTGGAAATCTCATCTTGCTCCACTGTCTTACCAGGCTTTTCAGTTTCACCAGGAGCCTCAAAATGAGGAGCGTGAGAGTATGGGTCCGAGACTTTGAAAGTTGGTTCTGGAGCATAGTGTTGGGCATCGGGGACTTTGAACACAGTCTCGTTAGAGGATCGAGGAAAAATAGCTGATGGAGGAGCTGCAAGAGCATGAGTGGCCAAAGGAGCGGTATATGAGGTGGTTTTGGCGGGTAGAGTGTGAAAAGGTTGTGGGGAGATATCAGCAACAGTGGGAATCTGGATTTGTGATAATGGTGGGATAGTTGCAAGGTTTTCAGTGTAGTTAGTGGGGAATGAAAGTGGAGGATTCCCCCTGATCCAAAACCGATACATTTCTGCCTTCTGCTGTTTCACCCTTTGGACCTCCTCTTTCAATTCAGACTCCGACTCCACAAACTCCCTTGACGGGTCAACAACTCTTGTGCCCAAGTTTTTGCTAGCCATGGCTACATTGCCCTTTGACCTTGTATTGTATGGACGAGTTACCTTAAGAACCACAAACCAACCACCCTTCTGCTATAATGAGGAGAACAAAATGAAGTCATCATGTTAGCGTTAGGGCATTTAACAGCTAAAAATATCACATTAAATGCAATGCACCTAGCAACAATTAATGGTTCTAGAATGACTTAGAGGGTCGTAAGGTCACTTGGCATCATCCCAATTTGTCCATTTCAATCTTCTCTTTTCTTTGCTTTTCTAGCACTTTCTTGATCATTTTTCCTTCCTCTTTTTCCCTTCTAATTATCACTTTTTCTTTTCCTCTCATTTCTCACATCACATGATTTCACCTCTTTTTCTTTTCCTTTTGTTTTTTTTTTATTTTCCATTTTTCCTTTTTCTTTAATAATAAAAAAAATAATCCGATCGAACCCTATGTAGGTTGCCTACGTATCATGACCCCGCATGAATCAGTCTTTCTTTTCCTCTTTTTTTTTCTTCTTTTTTTGCCTTAATGACCACTCTAAACTCATATATTTTTTCTCTTTTTGAAACAAACACTCTATGGGAAATTATTAAGGGAAAGTCCTACAAGAGAAATATTTTTTGATTCTTTTTTTCTGAAATGAAGTCCAAACAATAAACCAAAGAAAAACATTTCGAATTTTCATTTGATATCCTGACGCTAGATTTCGAAACAAACAACAAAATATTTTTGGATTTCAATTTTGATTGCCTAAAGAAGAAATTCTAATGATAAACAAAATAAAGTATATTTCTTTTTTCTATGTACAATATCCTAAAGTTCTAATGAAAACTAAAGAAACTCTTTTTTTCATTTTTCACTAATTTCCCAAAACACCTCAAAAGAAAATCTTTTTTGGATTTTTGAGATTAATACCTTAAAGAAAACTTTTAACAAGGTACTAAAAGAATTTTTGGTCCTAATATAGTAAAGAAAATATAAAAACAATTTTTATTTTAAGTCCTAGATATTAATTGCCTAAAGGAAAAACCACCTCAAATATTTTTTTTTCATTTCTACAATTAATATTCTAAAGAAAATTCCTAACGGAAATATAAAATGCAACATCCTTTTTTTGGATTTTTGAGTTACAGCACATTTTTTCAAATATAAAGCAAAAATACAATAACAAAGACTTGACATTGCTGTACAAAACTAGAAAGTAAAAGACGGCATAAAATGAAGAACAGACTCAAAACATAAAAATAAAACAAATCTCCTCAAGCAACTCCTGAATGCAGTGGTCCTGGGATATCTGTCACGTTCAAACTTCGGTAAGTAGATCCACACCTGTATGAAAAAACTTAAACCAACACTAGGTGAGATAATAACACTCCCTATGGAACACACGCAAGACATGGCTGAGACTATTTTTGCAAAATGACTTATTTGGCCAAAAGATGGCTAGAAGTGCAAAATTTGGCTGAGACCCCGCAAAGCCAAGAACCTGAGATTTACTAGGAAGACCGGACACTATGTGGGTTGCCTACGTATCACGCCCCGAAAGACGAGAATCATGTATGCGTAGTTCGGGCAGATTGGATACGGTTGAGAATTAGAAAACAACTAATTTAGAGAAAACATATTTTTTGCTTTTCTTAAAAAATGATGAAACATGCAAAATCTTTTGGATTTTCTTCTCCCTTTTATTTTGTTTTTTTTATTTTCTTAAAATGATGAAAAAGTGTAAAATCCTTTTTTTTGTATTTTCTTTTTGTCTTTTTCGTAACAAAAAACATAACTGGGCCCTACTTACTTTATTTTCACACTTCACCCTCTTTTTTCTCCTTTTTTTTTCTTTTTTTTTCATTGTTTTTCATTTTTTTTCTTTTTCATTTTTTTCATTTGCCCTCAGCTATCCTTGGTCCGCCAAATGACCCTTTTACCCTTGAAGGAATGCAACATGTAGCACACAGGATGCATCAAGATGGTCTGTTATTTTGGGTACACCTGTCCTAGACGGACCCAACCCCTGTGTTGAGTCCCCTAAGTCAAATGCACGTGATGCAAACAAGCGCTCCTACTAGGGATCCGGCATGGAGTTGTGTTTTTCTAAGTTTAATACTGGGGTTTTGGTCTAGACTTGGGGTACCCGAGCGGACAACTGGGGCCGAGGAGGGGGCGACGTACCGGGAGCACTAAAGTCTGCCCGGCCTTGTCGCTTGCCCAGCCTCGCTCTATTTGGTATAATTTCTACAGAAAAGCGGGCTACGCGAACGTATGCACCATTTTCAGAAGACTCAGATGGGGTGGCGTAAGAAGGCAATTATATACAATTCAACAATATTAAAGCGGTAAACAGATAGCATTTTAGCACAAAGGTTCACAAAAATACAATAATATCAACAATAAATAAGCCAAGTAAAAATCATAAAACAAGCTCGAATTCTTGAACCCTAAACAAAAGTTCTGGGTTTTTTTCCCCAGCAGAGTCGCCAGAGCTGTCACACCTCCCTTTTTTACTACACCCCTGGAAGAGTATAATAAAGGAGTTATTTCCAACTTGAAGTGACAATCGAAACGGGATTTATTATTAAGATTCAGAGTCGCCACATGGGAGATTTATGGTGTCCCAAGTCACCGGTTTAAATCCCGAATCGAGGAAAGGGTTTGACTCTGTTATTACAGTCTGCGAATCAGAAATCCGGGTAAGGAATTCTGTTAACCCGGGAGAAGGTGTTAGGCATTTCCCGAGTTCCGTGGTTCTAGCACGGTCGCTTTGATAATACTTGGCTTATACAATTATTTAATTTCTGATTTTAGAACCTATATGCTTGTGCTTCTTTCACCACTTTTAATTAAGAAAATTATCTTGAGACGGGTTACGCGTACGTATACCCGCCTGTTTGGTGCGTCAAAAATCATGTCACGCGAACGTGTCCACAATCAACAACGCTTAATTATTATTAAGAGTGTTTGGGCCGAAGTTGCGCGAACGCATACTCCGGTTTTGTTTTTAGAAATGTAGTNTTGACCCGTGGTGCCCGGGCACTCAGCCCAATTTCTATTCCGTCATATCGTATGGTATCAGCGGAGTTGAAAGAATTGAAGGAGCAGCTTCAGGAGCTCCTGGACAAGGGGTTCATTCGGCCTAGTGTGTCACCGTGGGGTGGGCCAGTTGTGTTTGTGAAAAAGAAGGATGGCACAATGAGAATGTGTATCGATTATAGGCAATTGAACAAAGTAACAGTGAAGAACAAGTGTCCCCTGCCTCGCATAGATGATTTGTTTGACCAGCTTGAGGGAGCGAGGGTGTTTTCCAAGATTGATCTTCGTTCGGGTTATCACCAGTTGAAGATCAGGGATTCAGATATTCATAAGACTGCTTTCAGGACGAGATATGGTCACTATGAGCTTCTTATCATGTCTTTCGGGCTGACCAATGCCCCAGCAGCGTTCATGCATTTGATGAACAGTGTATTTCGGCCTTATCTGGATTCATTTGTCATAGTGTTCATTGATGATATTATGGTATACTCACGTAGTCAGGAGGAGCACGCGTAGCATTTGCGAGTCGTATTGCAGAGTTTGAGGGAGGAGAGGCTTTATGCAAAGTTCTCCAAGTGTGAGTTCTGGCTCGGTTCAATGGCTTTCTTGGGACATGTGGTGTCCAGCGAGGATATTCAGGTTGACCCGAAGAAGATCGAGGCAGTGCAGAGTTAGCCTAGACCGTCCTCAGCCACAGAGATTCGTAGTTTCCTTGGGTTGGCAGGTTATTACTGCCGGTTTGTTTAGGGTTTTTCCTCTATTGCATCGCCCTTGACCAAGTTGACTCAGAAGGGTGTTTCATTTGTATGGTCGGACGAGTGTGAGGAGAGCTTTAAGAAGCTCAAGACAGCTTTGACCACAGCTCCAGTATTCGTTTTGCCATCAGCTTCAGGTTCTTATACGGTATATTGCGATGCTTCGCGAGTTGAGATCGGTTGTGTTTTGATGCAGGAGGGTAGAGTTATTGCTTATGCTTCTCGCCAGTTGAAGCCCCATGATCAGAACTATCCCGTTCATGATTTGGAGTTAGCTGCTATAGTTCATGCATTGAAGATTTGGAGCCATTACTTGTATGGCGTATCTTGTGAGGTATTCACTGATCATCGTAGTCTTCAGCATTTGTTGAAGCAAAAGGATCTTAATTTGAGAGAGCGGAGATGGCTAGAGTTACTTAAGGATTATGACATCACCATTCTATATCACCCGGGGAAGGCCAATGTAGTGGCTGATGCTTTGAGCCGAAAGGCGGTGAGTATGGGGAGCTTGGCATACATTCCAGTTGAGGAAAGGCCATTTGCAGTTGATGTTCAGGCCTTGGCCAATCGATTTGTGAGACTAAATATTTCAGAGCCTAGTCGGGTGATGGCTTGTGTGGTTTCTCGGTCTTCCTTGTACGACCGCATCAGAGAGTGTCAGTATGATGATCCGCATTTGCTTGTCCTTAAAGACAGGGTTCAGCATGACGATGCAAGGGACATGACCATTGGAGATGATGGTGTGTAGAGGATGCAAGGCCGGATTTGCGTGCCCAATGTGGATGGGCTTCGGGAGTTGATATTGGAGGAGGCCCATAGCTCGCGGTATTCCATTCATCCGGGTGCTGCGAAGATGTATCAGGATCTTAGGCAGCACTATTGGTGGCGGAGGATGAAGAGAGATATTGTGGAGTATGTAGCCCGGTGTCTTAATTGTCAGCAGGTGAAATATGAGCATCAGAGACCAGGTGGATTGCATCAGCAGATGGTTATTCCTAAGTGGAAGTGGGAGAGGATCACTATGGATTTTGTTACCGGACTCCCACGGACTTTGAAGAAGTTTGATGCTATTTGGGTAATTATAGACAGGTTGACCAAGTCCGCGCACTTCATTCCGGTTTGTACTACTTATTCTTCAGAGCGGCTGGCAGAGATTTATATTCGGGAGATTGTTCGGTTGCATGGTGTCCCAGTTTCCATCATATCAGATCGGGGCACTCAGTTTACCTCTCAGT